GGGGCTTGCCCCAGCCTTGTGAGTGGGACCAGCCCAGCCTCAGGAAATTACTTCTCAGCTTGGAATTTTGGCACTCACGTGTTTACCTGTGGTCAGTATGTTTCCCCCACAGCCCATACTCTCCTGTCGGTGGATGGAGGGTAGGGTAATACATCTATTGGCTGGATCCCAAAGGCTTGTCTCAGTTGATCATTGCTGCCTCACAGGGTTTGAGAAGAGATACCCAGGCCCCCAGACATCTCGGTCCTACTCCCTGCCCCCGTCCCAGCTCAAGGTCCCTCCCAGACCAACAACTGTCTGCTCACGCTCACACATGAAGATGGGAAGCAGCATCTCCCATCTAAATTCACCCAAAAGCTTCCCCCAGGGAGTCCTCCCTGCCATACCCTGGATCCAGTCGCTGGGCTCTTCCGTTAGCTTCTTACAGAGTCATGAGTTCATGAGGCCAAAGAGGGAAAGGCAAGGGGACTCACTGACCGTGTACCTGCCTGTGTGCTAGACCTCAGCAGGTCCTCTGTCTACCTCTCACTAAACCTCACACATCGCTATTATCAGCTCATCTTAGAGGTAAGAAAACAGACTCCAGAGTTGAAAGACTTGGGCTAGGGGCCACTTGCTTCCTCTGTCCTAGGACAGCTACCTTGTACCAAACACACTGCTGGGCACTCAGGGGAGGGGTTCTGCAGACTGGCTAGCAGACAGATCCATGCCCTCCCCGGGTGAGTCAGGTAAACAGGGGCCTTGGGCCAGCAACAGAGGAGGGTTGAGTTCTACCTGCTTGAGAGGAGTCCTAAGGACTTCTGGGTGGAGGAATCTCCAGGCCTGGAAGGACTCTACCAATCCTCCCCTAACCATAACAGAACAGCGGGCAAGCCATGGCTCACAAAGCCTTGGCACCCTACAGGCAAGGAGAAGCCAGCTGCCCTGCCAATGACCCCACAGTGGCCGGGCCAGCTGGCCTCTAGTCCTGCCAACCTGGCCTAGCCCCGCCAGCTCTCAATCATAGCTAATGACCATGCTGCCTGCAGCCCAGGCCACCACCCTCCTTCAAGTGACCACAGTGCTCCTGGCCCAGATATCAGCAAGGCCAAAATCACAGCTGCCTGTCCCACCACATCCTTCGGCCCTGTACAGTGACCTCTTCCTCCTGCCAGGGTCATGAAGGGCACTGCAGAAGGCTGGGGACACTAAACAAGACACAGAGGGGCTGACTCACTGCAGGCAATACACTCTGCCAGCCAGCACAGAGCCCGGGACCCAGGTTCCTTCCTGGGGACTATACTCAGTCCAGCATGGCCATACATTGGCTTAGGTAAGAAGACTTGAGTCTAGGTTCATCACATACAAACGCTTTCGAGGTACTGAGTGCAGTTAAGGCCATAGAACATCTCCTAGAAGCTGGCTAAGTGTCCATTCAGTGACAGAGAGGAGCAAAGATTTCCAGTTGGAATAGAAGCAGGCCTGACTCCCTGTCCCCTGATGTTTAGCTGGAAGAATCTGGGCAAGACAGCGCACCTCTCTGAGCTCCAGCCTCTCGACAAAAACAGCCATTTTGCAGAGTTTCCATGATGGATAGTGTCTAAAGTGCTCAGCACAGTGTGCAGCCCATCCTAAGTACTGAAGGGTATTGGCTATTACTAACATCACCACAGTAGAATTAATTGTGCATGCATTTCCTAAACTGTGGACTATTATTACTTTTATCGGTACGTTTACCATGAAGCGGTAAACATTTCCAGGTGGCACCCCAGAGGTTGGACAACCCAGGAACGTTTGGGGGCAGGATTTGTGACCCAAATTGGGCCAAAGCAGATAGAGAAGTGAGCAGAGAAGGGGCAGGGATGTGGTCTGGACTATCCCACAAGCCAAAGGGTAGCTCGGTGGTCACCAGTGGTATGTTCAACAGTGATGGGCAAGGAGCCTGAGGTCCCGTTAGTGGCTATGGTTGGCAAAGGCCGCACCCAAGGCCTGGTCCGCACTCCACAGAGGGGTTCTAAACGGCCTCCACTCCTCTCCCACCCGACTGCTCAGCCTTCTGATTCTGAATCACTGCTCCAGAATTCTCCTCACCCCTCCACCTACCATGCCATTTCATTCCCCGACACACACCGACTCCCTCCCCTGTGTGTTCACAGTGAAGCACTCCTTGGCTGACCACCATGGCTGCCTAAGGTTTTACTTATGTGACCCTATGGTCACTCATAATGAACTTGAGAAGTGAGCCTCACTGTGCTAATTTTACAGAAGGGAGAAATAGTGGTCGTGTATGCTCAGGTGTCTTGGCCTCCGGTCTCTGAGCAGAAGGCACAAGCAGGATTCCCTGAGGACCTCCCTGGCCACTCTACCCTCCCCTTCCTCCGCATCTCTAGTTCTGAGGCCTGAAGCTTGATCCTAGCTCAGCTACCTTGGTTCCCGCTGTTGCCTATAGGTATCTCCCCTGCCCCCAACGGTAGAGAGCTGGGGAGGATGGTAGGTCCTTCTCTCCTTGTCCTGCTCCATATTCCTCCTACACACACACACACACACACACACACACACACACACACACACACACACACACACACACGTGCACACTCAGCATAACCCGGACTGAGACACAATCAGGAGCCACTGGCCTCCTCTGGGGGGACGGAAGCACAGCAGAGTGCAGCTATTTCTCTAGCCTGCCTCCCAGTGAGGGCAATGATAAATTATTCACTGCACCCTGTGCTTAGAGAGGCCAGACAATGGTCCAAAGGGAATGGACACCACCTCCTGCCCCACAGGAAGCCACAGTGGGTGTGTGGTCGGTTAGAATCCAGAGCCCCTTCCCAGTGTCCCAAAAAAGATCCTAGGAGGCTTTGTAACTAGGAAAGGTGGTGTAGGGAGTATACGGCCTGCCCAGGGCCCAGCTAAGCAAGTCCAAGTCCCTCAGCCTGCAACTGCCACCTGTGTTCTAACGTCAGGAAAGTTTGAGGATTTTCCAGACTTCCTGGTCAAAACTCCAGTTTCCTTTCTCCACAGGGAAGGAAATGGATGGTGGCCAGGCGCTGTGTGGATCTGTAGCTCAGTTAATCTTGGTAGAAGGGCCATTCCCCCCTCACAGGAAAGCAGAAGGCTTGGAGAGTGACATGGCTGCCCCATGGCCAGGAGGCAGGGTAGGTTCATCACTGGCCACTTAGCCCATCTGAGTAATTTCCACACCACTCGGCAGACCAGGCACGATCAGTTCCTGAAGCAAACTCAGCAGGCAAAGATTTCACCTCTCTGAGCCTCAGTTTCCCACACAGGGTCGCCCAAATAACAAGCCCATACTGGGCAGGAACTCCTCAGCGCTCTACAGCTTGTCTATGGGATCTTCTCGTTATCTGGGCCAGTAACAGTGTTTTGACCCCACTTCACAGATGCGACATCAGAAGGAGGCTTCCCCCCAAGCCCCTGCTCTGCCTCACCTGAGGTTCCCAGCTCTTTCCAGCACTGGTGAAATGAGATCACAGGTGTGAAATTAGTTCATCAAAGGAGGACTCTGTTTAGATGCAAGGATTATTATGAGGATCTGAACCCCCAGGCAGAGGTGGGGGAGGGGGAATCCCAAGCCCCTTAGTCACCTTCCAGGCTCCCTGAACCCCTCCAACCCCAGGAACAGGCTTCTAGTCTTTAAGACCCCACTCCATCTCCCAGGTGCTTCCCAAGGTGGTTTCCCCAGACTCCAGGGAGTCCAGCACAACAAGGGTTAAGTAGTCCCAGCCAAGGCCACAATGCCCAGACCAAGGCCATATGCCTCCCCCTCCCCACCCAGAACAAGAAAGAGCCCCACAGGGTCTGTGCCAAACGCGCTTTCACAATACCCTTGTCCTACACAGATCGAGAGGCAGTGAGAGGAACCTCTGCCTGGGAAGCAGCACAGCTGGACCGTATCCCCAGACCTGGCAACCCTAACCTTAAGACCTGGAGAAGTTCTCTCCTGGGCCAGAGGGTCTTGCACGTTCCTCTGCAGCAACAGAGACTGAGGTCAGGCCTTGATCTGAGCCCCAGCGCCAACCACACATGCTCACTGCAGCCTCATACATGGTCACCCCAACCTCATACTGGGGGCGGAGGGGAAACCCCAGCCACAAACCCAAAAAAGTATGAGCTGGGAAGGGGAGAGGATCCTTGATGGATGTTTGGAAATCTTTTTCAGTTCTGCTTCTGGCTCAACCACTCACTGGCTTTAGGGCCTGGGCTAATTGTGCTCCCCGAAAGTCTTTAGTGTCCCCATTAATAACGTCAAGAAGGGAAGGGGGGTGAGTTCTGAGGGATAACAACTCCAGCTTCCATATGGCTGTGGCTTGGGGACCAACATGATGAGCCCCTAACAGATAAGAATACTTCAGTAACTTGGGGGACCCCGACTCTGGGAGGCAGGTTGTTCCTCCAACCTGGACCCCAGGAAGAGAGATCTTTTGGAACTGGGAAGCTTCCCACCTCTGTCCTCAATGCTGGGTCACTTTTCCTGGGAGGTGACCGGTCCATAATCCAAGAATCGCTGGTAAGGAGAAGCACCTCTGCAGCTTCAAGATCAGCGCTTGGATTTTGGATCCCCCCCCCCCCCGGCCGTGGCCCCACCTTACCAACCTCTTGTTTGCAGTCTGTCTACTTCCTTTCTTCTCCCCTCCCTCTTTGCTCTCTCTCTCTATCTTCTCCTTTCTCCCTGGTCAAATCCTCCGCACAGAGAGCAGAGATCCTCAGCCCTGTCATGCCTCAGTTTCCCCGTCGGTCTGAGCCCATAACAATCACAACAGCTTTTATCTCAGGGAGGGGTAGCGCGGAGCTTCAGATAAGGAACGATTTGTGCAAGGGCGGGGCTCGGACCTGCACACAATGGGCACTCAATGAGTGCCTGTTTCTCTCTACTATCTTTTGCGCGCCCTCTCCTAAATAGTTGACTCTCTGCGGGTGTCCCCTCCACGCCCTCCACTGACCCGGGCCCGGTCTCTAGGCGCCCGGGACCGCTCCCGCCGCGCATCCGGGGTTCTTACCTGCAACCTCGGCTCGCTGGAGACTGGGGCAGAAGAAGACCCTGTGTTCTCTTTGGTGCAAGCACCCCCAAGTCCTTAGCCTAGGGCGGAGGAAGGTGGAAGCTTCGGCTCGTAGCACCAGCCCAGGGGGTTCAGTCTGACTGTCCTGCCTGCTTGGGACCCCTTACGGTGCGCTGGACCCTGGCGGCGCCAGTACAGTTTCAAGTCCGGAACAGTCGGGTCCAAGGCAGCTGAAGGTTTGGTTCTCCAGGAGCCGGAGGCCGGTGGGCGTCCCGGCTCCTTTACACTCAGGTCCGGGAGCTGGGGCCACCTTGCACCGACCCGGGGGCGGAGGGCACACGGGCGGAGATGGGTCGGTATGATGGGGCTGGGCGCGTCCCGCCTCGGAACTCCGGGTCAAGCAGCTGCGGACCACCAGGCTGGGAAAGTCCAGGCGCGGAACACCGAGCTCGGACCAGCAGGGCAGGGCAGGACAGGCTGGGCGCCAGCGGCCGGAGCACGGCAAAGTCTGCCCAGGTCCCGACACGGCTCGCTCTGCAAATCTGGGCGGACCTAGCCCGGCGGCGGACTCTGGAGCTCCTCGCCGACGCTCCACTTCCTCCTCTTACCCGCTCCGCGCTCGTCGCTTGCTCAAGTCCGGCGCCGCAGCCTCTGCCACCGCGGCTGTCACCCTAGCCGCCCACCCCCACCGGAGCTGCAGACCGAGCCGAGCCGAGCCGAGCCCCGCCGAGACAGCGCCCGAGCGCCAGCGAGCCTGGCCCCGCCCCCCAAAGGGTGGGGCCACCAGAGTGCCCGCCCCTAGCCGGTCCGCGGCCAAAGACGGGGCGTACAGGACTCTGCTAGGCGGGTCCCCTCGCGGTTGGGCAGCGGGAGCCAATGGGAGAGTGGAAAGAGGGCGGAACTCTGGTGATAGCGTGGACTGGTGGGGCTGGAGGAGGACAATGAATGCGGTTGGGAGCTGGGGAGCGGGCCGCCTGGAAACCAGGATGGAGGGAGAAGCGCGGGGGTCCTGTGTTGACCGCGACCCTCGAGAGCGAGGCACGGAAGAGGCGAGGTTGAGGCTGAGATGTCCCTGGGTGGTGGAACTCGGCGCGTGGCGTGGTGCTGCTGGCCTTTGGCTCCTCCTAGCTGCTCCTTGCACGGAGCTGCATTTGAGAGCAGTGAAATGTTCAGATTTTAGGAAGCGGTGCAAAAGAAGTTTTTAAAAATAAAGAGCAGATCTGTTTCCCACACTTCCCCTTTCTCAGCGTTCGGCGGCTTAGGGAGGAGCGTCGTTATTAGTTTCAAAAATAAGAGCGGAGGTGTATGAGGATAAATCACCTCGAATCGTGACGTCTGTCGGCCGCGCACCGGCTTCCCCGCCTCAGCCCTGTCTTAGAGGCCCCAGCGTCCTGTGCCGGGTACTGAGCAGGCGTGAAGGGGTTTGATATATGAATGAACGTTGCGAGTGCGCGCGGGCGGGGCATAAGTCATTAATTGGCCTGGGGAGCCCTAGGATGAGGCAGCACAGCACAGCTTCATCTGTAAACCTCACACCAATCTTATGCGTGGAGCCCCATGTCACTGCTGAGAACCAAGACTGAAGAAGCCACGTGATGTGCCCCAGATCCCCGTTGCTGGTCTAGGAGTCTACCCACCATCTCTGTGGCATTCCTGGGCTAGACTTACTTTCAAAGGCTTTAGCCTCCTGTGGTGATGCTCAATCAGTTCAAGGTCATCCTCAACTACATAATGAATTCAAAACCAGTGTGGGCTGCATGAGACCCTGTCTCACAAAACATAATAATAACAATAATAAATAAACTCAAGATGCTGCAGCTTGGCAGGGAAATGAGTGAGGAACCAGATGAGCAGTAGGCTTAGAAGATGGAAGGGATGGCATTCCTGGCAGAAGGGACACCTTTCTGGGTCTGTACCTTGTGTTGGTTAGCAGAGGCTTCCCAGAGCAGGTGACAGGCTTGCCGAGGTCAAAATGAGTTAGCAAGTTAGCAGGAATGGATTGTGCTCCTGGGGAAATCCTGGCCGCAGGAGAGAGCTATGCTCTGAGGAAGAGTCAATGTGGGAGACTCCAAAGAGGCAGGTAATGGGGAGTTCAGACTTATCCAAAAGACCAAATATTTCTTTGGCTCCTCTTGAGTCTGGAGCCCAGCCAGATGATGCTGAAGGTCAAGCCGGTGGGAGCCTGGAGTGGATTTTGTGAAAAGAGAGCCATGAGACATTTTGAATCTACTGTTGACATGATGGAGTTCTGTAGGAAAATAAGTGTCCTTAAAACATAGCCCAAGAGACGAGTGGTACAAGGCCTGCTTGGAGACCGAAAATGCCTGTATTCAACTTGGTGATGGTGCGAAGATCCCTTATACCTTCTCTCTTTGCCAGGAACCTTCTTCAGCTTTGAGTTGGCAGCACCATCAAGCCATGAGCTCCTAGCCTGCTATTGTAGCCCTTCTGTTTTGACCCCTGCCAGCTGCCTCGTCTTTCCGCCTCTTCTCTCTCCCTCTACATCTCACCTCTCTCAGACTGAAGAGCAAGTGAGGTGCATTGTCTCCACACAGTTCCTCCAAGTGGCTGCTCTTAGGGTCCTCCTGGGCTGCCATTCACCCTACCCTGAGTTTATTCCTGATTCCCTGGAGGACTGAAGGTAGAGTTCGAGACCCAGTGCTCACTAGTTTTCTTTACTGCTGTGTCTCAGAGCCTGGGCAGGCACACAATAATTGAGTAACAAATGCCACCTTCTCTGAGATGCCTTCCTGAACTCCGAGGCAGCCTTTGGTCTGGTTCACGTGCCTGGAAGATTCTTTAGGCATGTCCATGCCTCATTCCCCCCACCCTTTATGGCTGGGAGCTACTCTGTGGATGTATGTCCCCTCCCACCATGGCGCCGCGGATGCCTGGTGGCCCTTGAGAGACCTCAGCGTAAAGAGATGAATGAATGAGGTTCTCAGAGTAGAGCTGTCTGGCTGCCCCTGTTGGGACAGCCTCCTCGGGGGTCAGAGGAACAGAATGTCAAAAAGAAAAAAGCTTTTCAGAACACAGCCTCATCGGGTGACTCCTGAGACCCTCTCAAGGTCACCGAGCGGTGACCAGCACTCAGGTCTCAAACGCCCACATTTGCCCCCTGCCTGCCCCTCTGGAGGAGAAGGACTCTTCTGATCTGGGGCAATTTGGCCCTTTGTGACTAGGGAGGCCACAGTGTGACAGTGGTATGACTGGTAGTGGCTTGTCTGGGAGGATGTCAATGCATGGACTGGCTTGGAACCCATGCCCGGAGGCTGATGGGAAACAGTAGCCTTCTGTGTGCCCCGCTGCTCCTGAGAACCTTGTGCATCTATCCAGAGAGATTCATAAAAGCTCTGCAGTGGACGTGCACCGGGCACTCTGTGTTCTCACCCCAGATGGACACTCACTTGCAGGCTGACAGTTAGCAGTCACTTGGCATTCTTTTTCTAAATAGGCCACCTTGTTGTATAAAGCTTCTCCGCTAGATAACCTGTGTGTGTGTGTGATGAGCGGGCACAGTGCTCGGCAGTGGCAGGAGGCAGGGAGGCTCAGCAGGCAGCAGTGACCTTACCCTCACGCTGCTCACTGTTTAGTGGGCTCAGCTGAGCTCACCGCACATGCAGATTCTTGATGTTTTCCCACCTAGGTCTCTGGCTCCACCAGCCCATAGTGCCTGCATGCGTCCCTTTCCACCAGGGGATGACTGTCCCATCCCGTAAAACTTAGTATACAGGCTGGCTTCTCTAAGAAGCCTCCCCACTTCTTTCAGTAGACAGCACCAGGTCTATTCTGGGGCCTGTCTCTGTGAAGGCTCCTGCCCCTCCCTTCTAATGCATGCCCGTGGATTCGAGCTGGCGGTGACTCAGTTTCTCCACCCGATTCTGAGCTTCTAAGGACAAAGGATGGAATGTGATTTCCCCCCTGCCCTGAGATAGTGTGTTTCATTCTCTCCCTCTCCACTCCCCAGTGTTTCCTGAACTAGACCAAGTCATATGCCACATATTGGACACTCATTCTGGCACAGTGACACCCTCTAGGATGAGCCCTGGGTCCAAGACTATCTGCATGGACCTGTGTGTCAAGTTCTCTGTGAACACAAGCACTGCCCACTTAGCTGGCTGGGGCCACAGCATCACCACAGGGAGAGCATGAGGGAGCGCTGGGTACCTGTAATGGTTAATGCTGATTGTCAACCTGACTAGATCTACAGTGACCTAGGAAAACAAGCCCCTGGGCATGTCTGTGAGGGATTTCTCCATTGGATTAATTAAAGTGAGAAGCCCCACCCTAAATGTGGGCAGGGTCATCCTATAAGCTGGGATGACCGCTTGAATAACGTGAAGGAAGCGGGACAAGGACCATCCTCATCACTGTTCGTCCTGACTGTCACCGAGATGTGACCAGCTGTTCCCGTGACCCGGCTTCCATGACTTCCCTGCCATGATGGACTGAGCCCTCATAGGACAAGCCAAAGTAGACGCTTTCTTCCTTCCGTTGCTTTCATAAGGTGTTCGTCACAGCGACTAAGCAAGGAACACACAGTACCTAAGGCTATGCGGATTACTCAGGGTAATCAGGGGACACTGGTCAGAGACGTGAACTCGGAAACTGTCGAGTGATGGGTGAGAAAGTCCATCCATCTGTAGAACAGGAAAGATGGAGAAACTGAGGCTGCAGAGTGGAGCAGTTAGAGCACAGACTCCGGGGCCATGTGGTCCGTCTGGATCCCTGACTGTGTTAGCTCTGCGATCTCTCTCTATCTTAGTTTCCTCATCTGGAAGGTATGTAAAGATCATAGGATATTTCAAGGGACCAGGGAGTTAGTTTTTCTTATACATTTGGGTTATGTTGATGTGTGGTGAGCCCCACATAGGTGCCTGATAGGTAAAATGAAGATGGAGGGGCTGGTGGGCTTTGGTGTGGGCTTCATCCTGAGGAAGCTTCACTTGCATAGACCCTTTTCCTTCACCTTCACACAACATGGGGCCTCTGAGGGCTCCAGGCTGCTGGCCCTTCACTTCCCCAACCTTCTAAGTCCCCTGTGGCCCTGCAGCTACAATCTATGTGAACTAGAACTATAGAAGCTGAGGCCATACACCAAGAAAACTTTATGGCTCCATTTATTGAAGATGGGAGGTGGGTGCCATGGAGGGTCCAAGACACCAGGGCATTATAAGCATCTGAACCCTCTTCTCAGCCTCAACTTCCTGAGGACAAAGTAGACATAAACAAAAATGACCTGCTGAAAGGTTGGTGTGAGGGTTTGAATGTGAATGGGTCCCACAGGCTCACATATTTGAATGCTGGGGCTGTAGTTGGTGGAACTGTTTGAGAAGAATTAGGAGGTGTGGCCTTGTTGGAGGAGGTGTGTCACTGGGGTGGGCTCTGATTCTGAAAAGTTCACACCGGGCCCAGTCTAGCACACTCTCTGCCTGCAACTTGCAGATCAGATGTGAGCTCTCAGCTACCGCTCCAGGACCATGTCTGCCGGCCATCATGCTTCCCACTGTGATGTCACGGACTTACCCTCTGAAATGATAAGAAAACTCCCAATTAAATGCTTTCTTTTACAAGTTCCCTTGGTCATGGTGTCTCTTCACAGCAAAAGAAAAGTAAGACAGGAAGGTCCAGGGATGATGGGAGAGCAGGATGTGGGTAAAGACTGAGGAGCATCCTTGGTG